CCGATTCCGATTCCTTGTTTCGATTCCGGTTCCTAACGATTCTCGATTCCGATTCTTTTAAGAGGCAGGGTCAAAAAAGTTTAGATAACCTTGCTAACCAACGGCCTTTCTGAAGGAAATACTCCTTCTGTAAAAATACTCCTTTTGTCACAAATTTTGCATTTTGCCGAGATTTCGTTATTTTTAGAAAAGCGAAGCCACACTTTGGATCGCCGACGTAAGGTACTCATGTTCGACTCGCGTGGTTATGCCAACACTTCCGGTAGACGCTTCTTCGTTGGTGTTGTTCAGCGGTTTCTTCTTCTGCTCGGCGGACTGTGAATATCGAAACTAGGAATCGAAATTTTAACTTTTGAACGATTCCGGGAAAAACGAAAAGTTAGTCTCGGTTCCAATCGATACTCGATTCTCGATACCCAACCCTAGGCATTACAGCAAAAACATCTGAAAAATACCATCATTCATGGTTTACATGTGTGCAATTTACTAAAAATCTCCACATACTTCAGACAGACATATTTGCAAAAAGCATGCAAAAATAATGTGTTGAGTGTGAGAAAATTTGTGAAGTGAAAACTACACTTACAGTACACACACACTTTGGGGGGAAAAAAAAGGCCCCTAAAGGGACCTCTGCAAAAATAAAAAAAAGACTATCGCGTGTGTTTCTCGTGCGCACGCGATACTCTTTATTTTTTATTTTTTGCAGAGGTCCCTTTGGGGCTCCGTACATCTCAAAGTGTCTGAAAATTGCATGTACATCTTATCCAATTTTTTGGGTCTTCCTCTGGTTGCAATTGCATATACTCGCCAATGCAACGCTTATGAATACACAAAAGTGACAACCTTTGATCTAAAATAAATTAAGCTATTGACTATTGATTTGATTTCCAAATTAACGCATTAAAGAACGTGCATGATTTTATTTAGTTTTGAAAGTCCCAGATAGACAATAATACTGTATAAACAGTGGTTACTATTCTAGAGATGACTCCCCTGCATTCGGCACCTTAGTGTACCCCCTCTTTACTGTGACGAGCTATTTTAAGATCTCTCCCGATTAGGAAGGGCATTCTCAGACATCTGTGCAATCCATGGCTTCCCTTGCCCACTACGTAGTGCAACTAACTTTTTACAACTTGATTTGAAATGATCACATTGCAGTGGCATCTTGGCAGACTTGTCAAACCAGAACCATTTAACTTTAGGGGAAAAGGAGTAACCTTTAATTTAGGTTATAATGAATAACCTTTTATTTTCGGCTTAATATGATATATTCAGAACTGCTACAGCCGCATTATGTAGATGCCATAAGGTCTATGCAAAACAAACAGTAGTGACTTGCTGATACAGGGATTTAAACCACGTGTACAACGCGATGAAGCAATCCAATCCAGATCACACATCCCATCAACAAAATCTAACCAAACAAACACACAGATATACATACAATAAATCTATCTATCTATCTATCTATCTATCTATCTATCTATCTATCTATCTATCTATCTATCTGGCTGTCTGTCTGTCTGTCTGGCTGTCTGATCAAATCATGCGATTACGAGGTTGCATCAGATCCCAAATAGACATGTATTTGTTTAACAGCTGTCAGGGGGAAAAAAGACAACAGCTAAAAACAAAACGGAAGACAATAAAGCTAGTTTAGGTTGAAAACAGATGGTCAACAAATTTTTGCCAAGTTACAATCCATTACACTTGCATCGCCTACTTTGAAATGTAAAAAGCGTATATCACAGAAGGTTTTATGTAATATGTAATATGCCTGGGTAAAGTCATATTTAGTCTTTTGGAGGCTGATAAGTCTGAAAATACACTTTGGTATATTGTCAATCCCATTAGTGGCTTTCCACTTTCCAGTCATTAAGGCTTGTATCGCTCGTGTGTAACGTTAAGTGATAAGTGTATCAAGACTTACAAACCTTAATAGTAAAGCTGATAAATGTCATTTTAAAGTTTCATCGATCGCCTTCATGTCGGTTCATGCCCTCATACACCCTGTAACGTTAACCACTGCAGTCCACAAGCTAACGTTAGTTCAAGAACACACAAATGAATCCATTTAGGAACGTCTAGATATAACGTTAATGTGAAATATTGAATTGACAGCTTCAGATGTCAAAAACTTAACCGTTTAATGAGGCGTTTTATTAAGGAGAAATATCCTAGTCTGGCTATCGCTGGACATTTAACTTTCTGATTTCCAACTCCTACCAACTTTAAATCGGTCCCACGCACTGCTGAGAAGTGTACGACCTGTCATATAGTTACTGCCGTAATAAATGCCGACAGGAGCACAGAAGGAAGTCATACAGCCGACGGGAGTAAATATGTAAGTTAGTTGGCACGAGTTTTAATCCGTGCGGCCTATGCTTACAGTTTTTAGCCACATCGCATTCCACTACAGCTGCCTACGGATAGCTGATAGCATCATCAGCGGTAGGCCGGTCAAATCGAGCCCGGTGCCTCCAGGCCTAACAACCATGCGGGCTACAATTGCGTCGGTCCGCTAAGTTGGGGCGGGTCTATGTAACTGAGAATTAGCGTAGGAATAGATACGTTTTATTTTAGAGTAAAACCGTGTACGCCAGGCCCGCTGTCTTACCTCTGCTTTTACTGACAGCGCTGAGTTTGTGTGCGAGTGGCGTCTCTCGTTTCGTATCCACAAGATGGCTGAATGTAGGTCACATGACAAACACGTATGCTGTAAATTGCCCGGATGAGAGTGAGCGTGATGCTGACAGCAGCACTTCCCTGGCGGCGCGCACGGGTTAGATTTCCATGTTTTATGGGGACTTTTCTTAGACCCGAATCGCCCACTAAACCCTCATGACTATTCCCTACCTCAGTCAACTAATACTGTTCACTTGAAGCAGTGAATGAAAACAAGTAAATGCGGACAGCCGTTGAGCGTTTGGGTACTTGTTATTGCGGTGCAATGTGGGATAGGAGTGCACTCAATAACGTCCACTATGGTTTCGGACACCACTACAAATGTTTGTCCCCTCAAATAACGCCCTATTTGAGGGTATAGGGGGCGATTTCGGAATATAATTTTATAATCTATCGGCCTGTATAAACTTATTATATGCTATCCACTATCACCTAACCCATAGCATAACAATCACAGAAAACTTTCTGCATTTTTACATTAAAAAAAAAAATCACTGGATGAATTACTAGATGTTTTTGCTTATTATGGGGACCAAAAAAAAGTCCCACAAGGTCAGGTAAAAAACAGGGCAAAATAAATGAGATAAAATTATGTAGGCCTACTGGATGGTCTTCACTTAACTAATTTAATAATAGTTCACTTGCTAACAATAACAATTTCAGGAAATTAGCTAGAATTGCACAGATATGTAGATACAAATCCAGAATAGCCTCCTCTTTGTTTTCTTTTACTGCAGACCTTAAGCCATGTGATGTGGGTAAACTTACAAACAGCTTTTTACAGAAAGTGTCGTTCCACTCAAAATTAATGGCTTCAAACTTGAAAAATGTCTACAAGTTCGTTTGAGATTAATATGAGGCCAAAATAGGGTTCAAATGGACTCTGACCAGGTCAAAACATTTAAAGAATGGGGTTGGGCCCCCATCCACCCATTAATAAAATTGATTTCTGTATGGGCCCTTAGAATCATCCTAACTTAAGACAGAGAAAATGACACCCTTTGTATGCATTTAATATTTTATTTCTGAGCAGATTTTCGAAAGACAACACTCTGGAGCATCACCACACAACTCGTGTTTCATTGTGATTAATCACTCCACACACAACTTCCCCAAAACCTTCTGTCTTTGATGTTTTTCTGAGAAGTGGCTTTCTAAGTAGCACATTTGGTTAAATTTAGCTAAATTCCTGACCAATAATTTGTGGTTAAGACCATGTGGTAAATGTGTATAGACAATATATAGGCTATACTGTATGTTTGTTTTTTATTTTGCATACATAAATGGTTACCACACAATTTATAACTAGGTACTTCCTTGAGTTGTGTTCTTAAATGAATGCAATTTACAAAGCAAATCAACAGTATTTTCTTTGATCAGTGAAATCATTAATTTAAAACACATAAAACAAATATTTTATTTGCATGCTTATATTTAATACTTTAAACTCAATTTCTTTTTGTCTACAAATTAAGAAGCTCAATATTAAACCATGATTGATTTTTAATCCTCTCTCTTCCTCTGGAAACATGTCACCCTAACCCTTATATGCTCTTTATCTCATGTTTATCTGAAACCAGCACAAACAGACAAATGTGTTGTGTCAGTCAGGCAACAAAATTTAGAGAAACGGCACATATAATATTGTACTTTAAAGTAGGCTAATTATATACTCCATGTTATGTTCTGCCCCCAAAACAGTCAAAACACATTTCCTCTGATTGTAATTGTGATCCTCTTTCCATACAAGCGGACTTGGGCTATTCATATATGACTAATTCCTCTTTTTAAATCATTTATGTCGCCTGATAATTAATTCACAAATGTTTTTCAATCTTTTTGTGCCCTTCAGTGAACATATTTCAACACATTATTTGTAAATTATTTTACGTCAGTCATCATGTTGTGTGTGATTCATTTGAGACACTAATAAAAATCATTATTTCTAATTCAGTTTTCACATTCATTTTAAATCTTGTTGTGTGATATGCATTTTAAAAGAATGGCCTTGCATGAGCTCACCAAAGCCGCATGCATACTTGTAAATTAGTAGTAAAATGCTGTTGAAGTAAGATGAAGTATAGCCTATATTACACCACAGGGCATTTTAACTTCCCAAACATCTAATTATACTGACTAAGAGAAAATGTACAGCCATACTTACAGGCTAACAGGAAGATATCAGAAAGTACCATAGCTGTTTCTGTTAGCAAGGATGTGGTCACGGGCAAAAACTCTGAAAACAGAAGTGCTCATAGCATTTGGGGGAAAGTATCATCCTGGTAAGACACTCCATATTTAATTCAGCGATTCTTATTTTGTGTGTGTGTTCAGGTCATAACCTGTTCATGAACTCAGTATTAGGCATTGTTTCAGTAAATGTATTCTTCTTTTCCAGCAAGTTTAAAGGAACTTGCAGGTTCATTGTAACAGTGTGTGTAAAAATATGATTAGCTACAGCTCTAAGATAAATTCTTAACATAACTATTATTTTTTTGTTTTGTTTACCAGTTATTCATTATAGTGTACAGGTGGTACAAACCTAGCCCTCACTTCCTGCAAGGGACTGTTAGTAAAGGTGAATTTGTGCGCCAGACACGATTTCGTGAGAGATGCTGCCCACATGCCTAAAAAGGGGAAAGACTGTGGTTTATTGACATGCATCTCAAGACTTACATACAGAAGCATTGAAATGTCAAAAAACGATTGACACGCATGAGAGGAAAGCTTAAAAATGATATGGCTGCATTTCATAGATAATGAAGGAAGAAAAAAAAAGACATCCGTCAGTTTGTCCTGCTTAGGTCACGTTCAACGGATTTTGTTCTTGTGGTTTATTGCTTTGTGAAAATATTGGTGATCTTTGTCAGCAGAGGTACGTATCATGCAACACTAATCTGTATGGATGTTGTGAGATTAATGCAGGTTTTGTGCTGGTGTTTGCCAGCATGTGTCCAAAATTGGGGGTATTTTGTAATTTCATTGTTACACATTCACCATTTCCTTTCCAATTTTTTCTAACGGTCATATTTTGTTTCTTAACAAAGTTTTTCTTCATGAACCACGGAAAACTACCCCCAGTTTCACTCTAGAAGAAATGAGACTTTGAAGTCGACAGCTAAGGTAAGAAAACACTAAAGAGCAGCAAAAATTACACGCAGAACAATTGAATGAATTGCACAAAACTGTCACTCATTATAACATTTTGTCATGTTTTCACATCTGTCTGTTGAAGAAAATGTACATCCATTTGTATTATATAGGCTACATTTGTCAATCAATGTATTCAATTGTAATCAATTTGATAAAAGTAAATATTAATATGAGTTTTAATGCAGCAGTGCATGCTGATTGCAGCAAGTTATATTTATTAATCCTGCTAATATTTGAGCAGTATACGAAACAAGTGTCTATGAGAGTCAGATCACAATTTTTATTTGCAAGAAATTTTCAAATTTGCCTCATGCAGCAGCTGTTATGATCAGAAATAATTATTACAAATAAAATTAAGGTGTTTATCATATAGAGTAAATAAACCAAGTTCTTAAAAAAAAAAAAAAATGAGTGAAAACTTAGCGCCCTGTAAAATGTTTGATGTGTCCAAAATATGCAACGTCATTATGAGAAATAAGGTACTTTCTAAATAAAAAAAAAAAAATTAATTACAAAAAGAACACTTTTTAATATATACATTTAACTTTTGTCTAGAAAATGTGCAGTTCTGTGTTTAAAAGTTTAAGCAAGGCAGGTTTAAAAATATATTTTGCATTCACAACCTTTCACGGACAATGTGTAGGAATTTCTCCCATCTAGCGGTGAAATTGTATTGCTTTTTCAAACTGCATCTACGGTAGCCATTATGAACCAAAAAGCTATGACATGATGTCTTCTAATAGCACTTCGTCGAGTGTCCCTTCGGGTGAACAGGTTTGTTATTTCAAACAAACAGCAACTAGACACAACGAACAAACGAATGTTCGTTACAGTATGAATTACTGACTGTGAAAAATATGAACTATTGTAATAAGTTGTTATGCCTCATTTATTCGTTATATTTTCTGAAGTATGTCCATTGTTAGATATCATCATAACTTTTAACTACAAATATTAATCTGTCTATAAAATATATAATGAAAAAAAGCTTGTAATTAAGACTGTAACATTGACTTGCCTGTGAAGAAAGCGTCTCTTTTGAAGCTATCCCGACATTAGTGTTTTTTGTAATCTCCGGTCAAGTTTCCTTTTGCAATCTATTTTGGACTTTTCTGGCGACGAGGATTTGCAAATGCAGCTTTTAGACTTGCCGGGCCGTGAAGCTCTCTCACTTCTCTGCTCGCCCGTTTCTGCTGCGTTCAGGCACGTCACGCTGGCTCTGAACGAAAACGCGTTGTGGAAACGCGTTGGCCTAGTACTTTATGTCCCTCTCTGCTATTATATTTTTTCAAGATGGCGGAACTACATGAAAGCCTCCGTGGACTTACCCGTCCCATGTTTATAAAGATAATAAATTCTTCGTTTTTGAGGATAAGTCAGATAATCGGCAGAGGTATTTGTACACCATTGAGGACATATTTAAGAATAAAAATATTGATTTTAAACAATAAAATACATTAAAAAGTACATTGTCCCTGTAGCCCTCAATCGGGCCATGGGGTCTAAAAGACCCAAATCGACTTTTACTTAATAATAAAAAAAAACAGGTTCCCTTCATCTCAGTGGAATATTAAGATTTTGTGACTTTTCATACATTATCTATCTATACACACACAAAAACTGGGCTTGATTCGGTTGTTCTGAAGGTATGTAAAAAAAATAATAATTCTTTTTTACAATTCTGGTCTTCGGGGTCAATATGACCCCACTTTGAATTGAATGGGAAATGTGAAAAAACTAAATATATTTTCTTTATGTGTCCAAAAAAAAAAAAAAAAAAATCCGGCATAAATCTGAAAAGTTTTACACATGAATGAAGGCCTAGTACTAGAGCATAAAAGTGACGTATTTGAAAAAATAATATTTCATATGCAAGCTAATGGTGTAGTTGAGGAATTGTGTGGTATATGGATACAAAAGTACTTTATGTCTCCAAAAACACAGCATTAATAATTAGATGAGAAGTAAAAAAAAAAAAAAAAAGATATATTATTTGTATGATTAAAAATGTAAGCATTAAAAATGTAAAAAGTGTAAGCAGGAAACGAAGACCTTTTGAAGGTTAACTATTCTAAAAATACATACATAAACAAATCAATATAAAAGTTTGCATCGTCAAGTGAAAAAAGAAAGCATGACTAATGGTTTATACATTTCAGCTGTGAAAGTTCACAAATACGTATGTGTTATTTTTCGTAGTTTCACTATGAAGAACTGCTCAACTGAAGACGTGGACACTTTGACGCAGAAGTTGGACTTGGTGATTTACGTGCCGGTCTTGGTGTTCGGCTTGGGGTTAAACATCGCGGCATTGGTGGTGTTCTGTCGGCTGCTCAGATGGACGGAGTCCTCGATCTACATGACCAACCTGGCCCTGATGGACCTGCTGTTGCTGCTGCAGCTGCCCTTCAAAATGCATGCGGCACACCACAAGTGGGAAGAAGATAAGATGTTCCTTTGCTCTTTCCTAGAAAGCCTTTACTTTGTGGCTATGTACGGCAGCATCTACACAATTGCGTGCATAGCCATAGACCGATACATCGCCATAAACCACCCGTTTCAAGCCAAGCAGGTGCGTTCGAGAAAAAACGCCTTGATCGTTTGCGTTTTGATCTGGGTATTTGTCATGGGAGTGACTTCACCCATCTACACCTTCCGGGATAAAAATAAGGGTAATTTCACTTGTTTCCACGGGTTCTCTGAAAATGGTTGGAGCACAATAATAATTGTGTGCCTGGAGGTCTTTGGTTTCCTGTTGCCTGCTTCTATCCTGGTGGTTTGCTCCATTCAAAGCATCCGTACTCTCAAAGCCTCAAAAAGCAGCAACCCCAAGAGGCAAGGTGGTGTGAGAATCATCTACAGCAGCCTGGCAGCCTTCCTAGTGCCCTTCACCCCGTGCCACATAGCCATATTCCTGCAGTATCTGGTCCGTAATAAATTTATTGTAGACTGCAAACATCAAAAGAACATCGCCCTCTTCATACAGGTGTCGATGAACATTGCAAATGTGACTTGCTGCTTGGACGCGCTGTGTTACTATTTCATCGCGAAGGAAGTCCGATCCACCAAGGACACACTTAGGCTGTCCATCAGCAGAGCGAGAACCACCAGCAGCTCAGACGTTTGAGAAGTCAAATTCAGTTTCAGAATGTGTGTTGAGGGCTTTCCAGCGGGAGTAAGAGACTGATTTAAATGGTGTTTGAGGTTTAATTCATTCATGGACGTAAACTGATAACATATTACTCATCTCATTCCAGTTAAAAAGACCAGTAAATTAGTCCTTGAAACTCCGCCCCCCCAAAGCCATGGCAACAAACCCACACACAGAATGATTGCCGAGATCATTTCTGATTGCATTTCCGCTCCCCTGACCCCTTTTTGCTGTTTTTGAGTCTAGGGCTGTGATTCTAGATTTCACGTGTGGTATTCAAAATGCTTACTGCATTTAATATAGTGCTGCAGGGATGACATGTTTTCTGAGCCAAAACCCATATATGAGCACTCCTGTTTCCATAGTCCTTTGTCAATTGTTGTTTTTGTTGTTTTGTTTTTTATGGGTTTTTGGTTAAAATGCTTGAAATAACACCATGCAGAACCTCACTGTGTTCACACATTTGCAAACTACCCCAAACTTTCAGAGAAAATGAAGACAATGAAAGAGTTGCCGTTGCGGTCTTTGTGTATACGGTTAGCTTTGTACTTCTGTCAAGTGTGTTTAGGCTTCAAAATTCATAAAAGTTGTGTTTATTTGTAAAGATAATTTTTGATGAACTAAACATGTAAGAATCATAAAACTTTGTTGGTTTACAGAGCTTATTTTCTGCAATAATTCAAAAGACTATTTGTTTTAAAAACAATATTGTTGGTTTAACTTAAAAAATTAAGTAATCTGGTTGCCTTAAAATTTTAAGTTGATTGAACTGAAAAAAGTGAGATTGATTTAAACATCAGAAACTCAAAATTATACGTTATCGGAACTAAATAAATTATTTAAGTTGATTTGACAAAAAGAAAAAATGTGATAACAAATCTTTTTCGATGCTAACTTCAGGTTGGCATACACATAATTATGTAATCACTGCAGTGCTCCAATTAATTTTATTTTAATTCTAAAATTAAATTGTTTCTGTCCATTTGCGATGTGATCTGGATTTTTCACCACAGATGCTGTATTTGTCTTTATCTAAGAGCTCACTGTCAACATGAAAAACTTGAGGTAATCCTGCTCACACGCGAAGGTCGGTTGGCAAACCATCTTGAAACCTTCACAATGACTCACAATGTTTCTGATGCAGAACTCGCAATGGCATTTCACATTTCCTAATTATCTCTTTTGTTCTGTAATCTGCCTCCAAAATCAGAAGATTAAATGTATGTGGAGACTTGTCTCACAAGAATTAACAAGAATTTCTTTAGTGTCGTGTTAGTGTAAAACAGGTTTCCAATTGGGCAAGAGTTTTGTTATTGATTTCCACTAGTTGTGGGTATTTGTGTGGGTACAGAGCAATATTCCACTTGTTTCACCAAGTCAAATGGTGAGTGTCTTATATCATATCTCATAATTCAGCTGTTGAACTGTGGCAGAGCGCTGGTGAAAACATACCGTACGCATCCGTATGCCAGGTTTACTCTTAGTTTTTTTGTTGTTGTTGTGTTGAGTGTTTTATTTAGGTGCCTATTTGAGTTATTGTTATCGAAATTTGCATTAAAAAGGACCAAAAACTTGGATGTACAATGATATATATATATATTAGAAATGGAAATATGCATTTTCTGGGCTAAAATAAACTCACTATAGAGACTTGACAGCATGTGCCCTAACATGTGCTAGTGTCTCCTTCACTTCCTTGTTGCCAAACATTTCAAGCACAGACACTGCAAATAGATTTCATTTTGTCATATATCACAATTTATTTATTTTTTGGCATTATTTATAAATGACAATGTCCCATTGAAGGTTAAAATGTTTGTGATTTTAACATAAGAAAAGTATGTTTAAATGTTTTTGCCACTTGCTTGAGCATAGCATATAGGCTTAATATAGGCTGTAGATAGGTTAGCCTATAGAAGTAATTAATTTAATAATTTGTTAAGTAGTGTGTTTGAACGTGAACGTGTCAAAGAATCATTCTGCACTGTGTAGAGAAAGAATCACATTAATGAACAAACGTTTGAATTCGAAATTAAAACAATGAATAAATGTTGTGTTTGTGGCATAGAGCCGCAATCAGTTGATCACTCCAAACACGTCGAATGTGAAAGCACAATGAGCTTCTGCACCGCGTACTACAATAAGCACTTCAAACGAAGTATGTTAAGCATAAGTCAGATAGAAGTGCATGATAAACGGTTATGAACACATGCACAAACATGTTACTCTTTCAGGCTAATCAGAATAAAACATTCAGCACATGCATGATATGGCTGTGTTACTCATACTATAGGCTAGTACATCGTTGACCACATGCTCTTGATGCTCTTTAACCTATTTTACTCCTCGGCTTGCCGTCTATTCTGGGACAAAAAGTAGAATAAGAAGCTTCAAAAGGGACATTTTTTGGACAGTTGTTGAAGATTTATGTGAATTATAGTGCTATATTTTAATAAAATTGTGCTAAATCTTTCAGTTATTCTCATTTTTCTTTGCCATGTGTTTGTAAGGCTGAACGTTTTGTTCCTTCTATGACCAGCAGATGGTGCCAGAATAACATTATAAGGCAGGCCATTCTGATCTGAACCCCCCCAAAAAACACAACAAATACAGTAATTTAGAAAGGCCAGGTAAAGTAATGGTAAATGTAAAAAAAATATTATGGTTTTTTTTATGTTAAAATATTATTTTAAAAATATTTATAATAACCGGTCGTGTCTTGGGCCATCAATGTGTAGGCTAGGCCTACTTACATGTTTAATTTGGTCTTCTCTGTGGATGCTCTTTGAGGTGGTGACCATCAGTGTTGGATAAGTTACTCTAAAAAAGTAATTAATTACTAGTTACTAATTACCTCTACAACAGTGTAATTAGATTACTGTACTAATTACTCTCTCTAAAAAGTATTTAATTACTTTTAATTACTAATTACGTTCAAAATCCCATATCAATCTCAACCAGCTGAATAATACAAGGATAGACATGAATCTGTTTTAATTCTTTCAAATAACTACTATAAAATTGCATGAATTATCCTTAAACTGACCAAGAAGGTTACATTATAAAAACATACTTTTTAGCATCAGACAATACATTTTGACGTTAAACCCACTATTGTTATATGTGTGATCTCATGACATTTCACACTTTTTTCATACATATTTTACAATAATTCATACGAATTTGTACGAGTGCGGTCGTAATATTTAAACACCTCATTAAATGCATACGAATCGATGAGATCAGATTGATCTATACATAGTTTTTACCTACATCAGAAGTAACTGTAATTAAATTACAGATAAATTAAGAGTAATCCCTTACTTTACATTTTCAAGGGAAAAGTAATTAAATTACAGTAAGTAATTACTTAGTAATTAGTTACACCCAACACTGGTGACCATAGACCTGCATTATGACTGATAGACACGAACGGTTTGACGTAAAAATATCAAAATTGAAACAACTGCAGTAACAAAGACACCTACATATTGGATGCCCTTGACGTAAGCTAAAACATACCAAAAATTAATTTCAAAGTGAACTATCCCTTTATGACTAGTCTGACCAACCAGCAGTAGCCAAGGCCCCCAATGAGAAAAACAGATAAAAATATTGCACGTAATGTGACTGCAAATCGCTGTAATATTTCATTATGTTATCTCTTATTTCACTCTTAATAGTCTATTTATAGTATCTTTAACCAGAACCATTGTTAGAATCACGACTAAAATCAAAAACAGCATTCAATCCTCTTCACACTCTCGGCCCCTCAGCTAAAATGAAATAATACTTTTAAATACGAAACCGCCAATAGGTGTCGCCAGAGCACTGCCTTACAGTAGTTCACCAAAACTGAAAAATCGGTCGTCGTTTACCCTTAGTCAGTCACCCCCTCAAGTTGTTTCAAACCTGTACGAATATCTTTCTTCTGCTGAACACAAAAGACTATTTTGAAGAATGTCGGTAACAAAACAGTTAATGGGCCCTATTGACTTCCATAGTATTTTCCCCCATACTGGAAGTCAATGGAAGTCGTTAGCTATCCATATTCTTCAAAATATCTTTAAATTAAAATTGTGGGGTGAACGATATACCGAGTGACTCATTCATCATATAAAGCCATTTTCTGTCTCTTCAGAAAATTTGGACTAAACTCTTAAATTTATATATGGTTTAGCGTCAAGTGTTAGGCCTATTTGTGGACTCTGTCAACGGAGGGACAGAAAGCTCTTAGATTTGATCAAAAGATCTTAATTTGAGCTCCGAAGATGAATGAAAGTCTTTCGGTTTTGGGACAACATGAGGGTAGGCCACTAGGCTTAAATGACAGAACTTTTTGGGTGAACTATATCCTACACAACAAAAAGGGGAAGGGGGGCGGATCGAAGGGGGAAGGTGGCTGATGGTGGCTGATCTGAAAGTTGTGGTTGATGGTCAGTGTGTGTGTGTTATGAATGTACGTTTTCCCACTTTTAATGTTTTGCAGTGTTATTATACTGTTTGCATTGAGCCTCTTTCACCCACACATCACTTTCAAAAAGCTCTCGCTTGCTTTGCTTCATTGACCTTTACATGATTGTCTATTGTGGTTAGGCAAGTCAGTTTGTTTTTCTCTACTCTGAAAACATTGTGAGACTTTATCTTACGAATTCATCAATTATTTGTGCATACAATTTGATCATGTTCTGTACATGGCATTACAGCTAAACAACACACGAAAACACTAAATAAAATATTTCACATGGGAACCATGCTGACCTTACCAAGCGTTGTTTTGTCGCTATCAGTTTACTTTGTGTGTGATTACACTATTCGCTGTTATCTGCAACACAATCACTGCTGTTGACATGCAGAGATGTTTAACGTGTGCTTGAAAGGGGTAGTTTTTGAATGATCTAAAACTTGCATGTACATGCTGAATGTTAATCTCAGTTTCTAAAAAGTTTTTTTTTTCTTTTTCAATCCAAAAGCTAAGGTAAACAAGAGCATCCTTTAAAGTTTGCATCCGACACAATCTAATTTCAACAGTTTGCATCTGACCACACGTCTGAACATCTTTAACACCCCCCATAGCCTCCCCACTCAAGTGTGTTCCTTCAATTTTTTTTGCATGTAAATGCAATTCGCATGTTGACACCTCCCACAGTTTCCTGTTGCTACCAAGTGGAACTTAAAAAAAAAAGAAAAAGGTACCACACAAGAAAAAAATCGTTACAGAGTCGTTGCACGTTTCGGCACAGCACTTCTCTTAAATCTGCTCGTCTCTTTGGAAAATGCCACCAAACATCACAGACTGTGATACATCACATTTTAGATATCCACTTTTCACTTCCACCTACAGCATTGTGCTGCTGTTTGGTTTTCCTCTGAACTCGGTGTCTCTCTGGATACTGCTATGTCGAATCGGCTTGAAGAAATCCGTTCCAGTGATCTACATGGCCAACCTGGCTTTATCGGACCTTCTTTTCACGCTCTCCCTGCCCTTTCGGATCATCTACTTCGCCACAGGCCGATGGAGGCTGGGAAACGCTCTATGCATGATTCCAGGCACCCTCTTTGCCATCAACCTCTATTCAAGCTCCTTGTTCATTACGCTGATCAGTGTGGACCGGATGCTGGCCGTGGTGTATCCCATAAGATCTCGGCTGTACCGGACGGCCCCGGTGGCCTGGGCTCTGAGTGTGACCGTATGGGTGCTCATCGCTGGATTGGCAGTGCCAACTGCCAGTAACCACCCCGAAAACTGGGACGGAGAATGTAACGTTACGCGCTGTTTCGAAAAATACACACCTGACGAATGGAAAAACGGCTTCATCATCCTCTGCTGTACCACTGTGCTCGGTATTTTAGTACCTTTCTGCATCATTCTGAGCTGTACGGTGGCAGTCGTGAGGCAGCTGAGAGGCTACAGCATGAGTTCCTCGTGCAACACCGAGCTGAGCAAAAGCAAGATTGTGAATCTCTTTCTATCCAACTTGCTCATCTATGCTATTTGCTTTATCCCCTTTCACATTGCTTTCATCCTCTTAGGCCTGAGCAGAACTGGAATCTTGCCTGAAGATAAATCTGAATTTTTTTACTTAGACATTCAAACGGTCACCATGTGCATGGCCAGCACCAACAGCTGTCTGGACCCCTTGATCTACTACTTCAGCTCCAAGAGAATACAAGGTAGGAGCAGATGCGATTCTTCGTCCAAAAGCATCGGCCTCGGACTGATCCAGAGCATGAGTTGGACAGGACAGTGAAGCAACAATTGATCACAATAACTTATGTTGTTGAAGTAAACAAGAGGAAATGATTATGCAAAAAGGCCAAGCCTAAAACCAAAAGCTGACTCACACAAGAGCGTGTTGCACATCTCCGCTCATGTGCTCATCGCCTGAAATCTTGCATATTTGATTTGCTCGCTTGGTGGGTGAAAAGGGATGAAAATGCTGAAGTGGTTTCTCCTACAGGAGTCAGTACCTGCCAATGTGACATACTTTATTGTGTTTTTGGAAAACTTGCATTGTTGCACATGTAGCAAATCATCGACAAAGCTGTATAATAGCTTATCACTGCACTCTATACAATGCTGGGTTGCTTTTAATCCAAATTTGGGTCAAATATGGACAAACCCAAATGGGTTGGGTTAAAAATGTCATTTAAAATTTGAACCCAACTTCAACTTTCACTTTTTAACCCAACATTTGGGTTTGTTCATATTTGGGTTGAAACAACCCAGCATTTTTTAGTGTGAGAGCTATAGGTTTGCTGTGGTTATTCTTTTATTTTCTACCAGCATTATCATTTGACATTTTTCAGTTAGTCTTTTTTATAATCGTTTCTGTGTCATTGTATATTTTAACCGAGCTCTTATTTAAACAAAACCGCATTGAGGTTTGTGTTGACGCATGTACATACTTTTATTTTTGCATCATGCATTATGTTAGCAGAAATAAACCGAACATACTTCTGCAAGTTTAATCAGTGACTATAATGGTTCATTACTTGTACCTGATTTCAACTGAGAAGTTGGAGTGTGAGTGAAGCTGGCAAAGGGGAAATGAAAGTTGAATTTTTGAGTCAACAACGGGGTTAAACTCCACACCCTCTTCTGTTGTTTCACATGAGATCTTTACTTTTGCGGTTTGTTGGGCAAGTGCAAAAGGTCTCTTGCATGCAATCACTTAGAGAAGCCGTAATGATCAACAGAGTACGCGAGTACGTTTTTCAGCAGTTTATTGATGGATTTTACAAGCGATTATTATTTACAAAGCGAGAGCAGCAGAATAGAGTGCACCAAATCAAATCCCTCATTTATTCCAGACTAAAAACTTGCTACACCAGTGTGTGTGCGTGGACGAGGAACAAACACATATAAATGATACAATAAGAAAAAGTGCAAGCAATATGAAACGAGTCTAACTCGGACGATGTCTAAGGATCTACAATTTTTCGTGTGCGAATCGTACATAAAAAAAAAAAAAAAGGAAATAGATTTTTGCACATCTGTGTCTAAGAAGAGTCACCTTTAATGAAATTCAAAACAGTAAGAAACATCCCATTTTGATCAGTGTGGACACACTGCGTTAAGAGATAACAAAACACTTCAAACCGGTGGCTAGTTTTTCACATTTTTCTACAAACTTTATTCACACGTATTAAAGAGCAATACATGATAAACCGCTCAGTGAAATCAACATTAATACAGAAGAAACGGATGACAAGTTAGGCAAATCCAAGAAAAGAAAACCTATATTGCTTAGATCACGTTCAAAAACCCACGCTATGACTTAAATAACGGGCTTCAAGTCATACATTTCTAAAATAATGAGGTATACATCTTTTGGCATTGAAGACGATTTTCTAATGCTGGATTTCTCCTAGAACACAGGAGGAAGTGAAAGACAGGTCTGGACAGATGAAAACAAACCACAGGAACTGCCGTCAGTCTACATAAACCGAGGCTTTACAGGTTTAAAAAAAGAAAAGACGCAAATGCGCACGCCAACGTCTACGACTAACCTCAGTTATTTTGGAGGAAACCTCAACAGTGAAAAGAAAAGCATAAAAACGAAGAACCTGAGAGTGAAATAAAACTACAGACGATACGCAAATCAAAACTTCATAGTATAATTTAGACAGAGACAAAACAACACGTACCAAAGATGGCAGTTTGTAACGTTATGTACAGGTTTATCATGCTGATAAAGTGCTGTTAAGCTGGACAGATGGGGAAGGGTCGCTTTTGGGTTTTGCTCAGTAGAGTTGAGGAGAAAGGGAGGAAAACTACAGCAGGAGTCGATCGCAAATCATCGTCTCCACCACAAACGTGTTCTCGAAGTGCCGGATGCTGTGGCAGTTCCTGGTCTCTCTCTTCTCGATGTCTGGAGGAAGAAGCAGATTCGAGCTGGATTAAAAAGACGCCATCTCACAGGACATGCTGTGTGAGTGTTGGATCAACTTGGGTCAATCAGTTTGGAAAGTAAGTTACAATAAAGTTTGGGTCTTTATGCTCACAAAGGCTGCATTACTTGGTCGAAAACACAGAGAACATGGATCCATCATGGCTTGTTACCACTGTGCAGGCTGGTGGTGGTGGTGTAATGGTGTGGGGGATGTTTTCTTGGCACACTTTAGTGCCAATTGGGCTTCGTTTAAATGCCACGGCATACCTGAGCATTGTCTCTGACCATGTCCATCCCTTTATGGCCACCATGTAATTATAATAATATCGAGAAACATCACTACAATTTAAAATAACTGCTTTCTTTTGAAGTTGTTTTAGAGCAGAGCAAAATTTTCAGCATCATTTACTCCAAACTTCAGTAGCCTGGTTTCCATTATAGTTTTAAAGTCTTTTTGTCAAAAAATAAAAGTGTGATATTTTCTAAATGTCGAATAGCAAAATCATGACGTTTCAATTAAACGTTGTCGTGCGACTGAATTGTTATTTTCTGTGGCCACCCAGACACCATCTACACATACTGTAGATGGGTGAGAGGAAGCTCTCGCGGAGCCAAACTACAGTTCCCACACCGCATCATCACTACCCACACCTCAGCCTCTGCATCACACAAGAGAGATGCCTCTCTGATCCGGCAACTCCCACAACGCATCAGATCCCTGACGTGCATCACAGCCCCCTCTGTGTGGTTTCCTAACTGGAGACGTTCTGTCTGTGTACTATACAAACGTGAGTCACACTCTCACACCCACGTTCACACGAATAAATCAGGATCAATGATACCACACGCACCAGAGTAAAAAGAATCAAGATCTTGCCCAACACCCTCTGATGGCAATATTTCATTTTCATATTAGACCAATGTACTCCAACTCGCAAAAAAGAGGAAGATGTTGCTGTTGTTATCAGCAACAGTTAATGTGGTTAGGTTTCAACATAGAAAATACAAAAAAAAAAAAAAAAAAGGAAACAAAATGAGGAGATAGACCACAGCCACGTGTGTGTGTGTGTGTGTGTGTGTGTGTGTGTGTGTGTGTGTGTGCGCGTGCACAGGTGCAAGTAACAAATAATGAAACATTTTAATACAAAAAACAGATATATCAGTGTTGCTGATATATAACAAAATATCAGTGATGCTTAAACGTGCAAAAGCTTGGATGTTGTTATACATTCACAAGGATGTAGACTTTAAAGCAAGCCTTTGTTTGGCCATGCAGGCAAAAATGTTTTTACTTAAGAATATTCATTAGCACATCTTTTCCCAATAAGCTGAACAATTTATGAGATCATTCATGTGTCAGAGCACATTCCGAGTAGAACAGCAGAATTAAAAAAAAAAAAGTAGGGTTACTTGTTTGAAATTAAGTCTCTTTTGCCACATTTATTTGATCAAAAATACAGTTATATTGTCAAATGATATTACAACTTTACATTTTCTATTTGAATATATTTTATAGAGTAATTTATTTCTGTGATGCAAAGCTGAATTTGTTTTATCAATCTGCTGCTTCATATTTTTGTGGAACCCGAGTTTAGGGTATGTAAAAAAAAAGAAAAGAAAAGGAGGATGAATAATATTATTCAGCAAGGCCAAGGACACATTAAACTAATCAAAAGTGACAACACACTTTTACTGTTTTTCACGTTTCCAGCCTTGATGAGCATAAGGACTTTTCAAATACATTACAAAATCGTTATTACTACAAATATTTGAGTGATACTGTAAGTTGAACACCAAAGTTTAATACTTAGTTTTAACGGTCTGCTCAAATCAGCAACACAAAGTATCAGCAATGATAATAAATCACAGTGATGTTCGACTTAAACACAAATAAACTCACGTTTTGGGCCACTACGGCGTCTCAGTCTGTAGGTTTCTTTCCCATAACAGAGCCGGTGGATGAAGGGTCCGAGCTGACGCATGTTCCGAACACGTCCCGTCACCACCATCTCCTCCTGAATGATGTAGGTCTGGGGCAAATACATCCCCCGCTGAAGAAACGCAAATATTTCAAACATTAGAAATCTGTGAGTCACCTCTGCAAGGGAAGTGACAAGTTCTGTTTAAGAAATGCACACATTTTGAAAAATTAAATTCATGAATTTTTTCCTTCATTTTTGAAATAAAAAAAAATTATATTAGAAATGTGTGTTTGTGTGTGTATATGAAAAAAAGTAGTACATTTACAAAATTTTATTTGTTTATTTATTATATTTTCAGAAAATATGTAAAAATGTCTATATATAAAAGGCATTTCTAGGACTCTCTTCTCCTGATTTATCATTAGTTTTTAAAAAAAATCCCTGATTTTTCCATGATCATAGGTCCTTGGCTTGTGGATACTGTACAATTAGTTTTTTAAACAATTTCTGAAGGTGCATTTTTACCCTTTCATATTTATATTTCAGAAATAAAGGCTGCACATTAAATGTGTGACTCACGAACTGAGACCTTTTGTGCAAAAGTTACATAAAACGTTATGCAATCCATTACCTTGACATTAACAAGCATCTCCCACAGGTTCCTGGGCGCCATGACGATTGTCGTGTTGAGTTCAATGACATAGCATTTATCCAACGCAATGTCGTAGTAAGCCGTGAGTCCCTGTGTTAATGAGAAACACCTCAGTTAAAAACGACTCTAGAACTCGCAAAATCATTTGGGACGTTCATGTTGATGTTTAACAGATACAAAGTTTGGGGGGGTCAGTAAGAGTTATTATTTAATACTCTTTACTCAGCAAGGACAATCTTATTGATAAAAAGTGACAGTTTAGACCATCATAATATCACAAAAGATTTCCATTTCCAAAAAAAGCTGTTCTTTTGAAATTTCTATGCATCCATATAATGATTGACAAAAACACTAACAGTTTTTTTTCCAACGTGATAATAATATTTAATGTTTCTTGAGCAGCAATTCTAGGATCATGTGACACAGAAGACTGGAGTAATGATACTAAACATTCAGCTTTGCATCACAGTATAAAATTGCATTTTAAAATATATTCAAATAGAAATCACCTATTTTGAATGGTAATAATATTTCACAATAGATTGTTTTTACTGAGTTTCTGATCAGTTAAACCCATATGGTAGAAGAACAAAATGTTCTGCTATCTACCAGACGGACATAGATCTCTATCCGCCGGGGAACTTGGGAATGTGTCTTTCACAGAAACATTTGCTTGTACTCCTGTGCCTGGCACATTGCGCTGAATATTAAACAATGATTTCAGCAGACAAAAGGTTTCCTCAGAGATGGTTCACAGTCCATCTGGGGAAGCAGTGATGACTAACGTCGTCTTTAGCACAGCCAAAGAACTAGAAGACACTGTACTAGAGCAAAATGGGCAGAACTTGGAAAGATCCTCACCCTGTGAAAGTCGTGAATGATGTCAGCCGGGTCACTGCTTCCGAAGTCGGGCACAGGCACGCTGATCTGCTCGTAGTTATCATCCAGGTAGATGCCAACGTTTTCCTCGATCTCCTGCCGTCCGAGTAACGGGGCGAACAGGGGGTCCTCGTACATCACCCGACAGTGGAACAAACTATCCTCTGGGATCTGGGGAAAGAAAGTGGAGCAGTTTAATAGAGGGCACTTGAACTACTCTAGTGAATGGAAAGCAGAGTTTAAAAAAAAAAATCCAGCGAGCGTTGCTATGGTGATCGCTATGGCAATGAACTTCAATAGTCTGGTTTCTGAATAAAAGACGATTAACCGATTCGGTGACGTCTAAAGTCTCACCTGAGGGCTGTAGTAGTATCTGTACAGGCATACAGATGCAATGATCAAGCCTGACAGGAAGATCACAAGGCCGAGCACGACGCACCAAAGGCCACTAAAGGGAGACTTCTTGGATCTTACTGGAAGCACCAACTCATCCTTCTGGGAAACACAAAACAAATTCAATTAGCACTTGAAATGCCCTTTTCAGGCTTTTTTTGTGTCTGGACTGATTCATACTTGACAAATCAAGTCAAATATACCATACATGCTTAGATTAATTTCAATATGATAGGCACTGATAAGGCTTAGGGTACGTTTACACGACAATGACGTACTAAAAACGGATACATTTTTCTATTGCATTTTTTTTTTTTTGCACAGACACAAAATAATTGTTTTGCATTATCAAAACAATCCCGTTCACACGGATCTGCAAAAAAAAAAAAAAAAAAAAAAGTTGGCGATGTCAGTTTGTAAAGAAACACTTCACCTATAGACTGAACACATAATACATGTGCACTGCATGACGTAAACGTTTTCACAAATTCACGTTTTTGTAGTTTACACAGAGACGAAAAATGTTATAGTTTTCAAAAACTTTGAAATCCGTTTTCAAAAGTTTGCATTTTCATGTCCCCAAAACACCATTGTTGTGCAAATGAACAACCAAAACTCTCCAAAAGATCATTTTCTTACTCTGCGTTTTTAACCCAGTATAACTACCTAAACATTTTTTAATCAAGATGCATTTACTTGAGATGCAAAATGACCTAAAACAATAAGGACGGTTCAACCCAAAAAAAAAAAAAAAAAGGCAGGATTTTTGGCAGCAACCATCATGTCGTTCCAAACCCATATTACTTTGGATAATCTATAAAACACAAATTAGGATATTTTTTAATGAAAACTATTTTAATGTTTTCCCTGTCCCTCCAAAGAAAGTCCAGGTAGCCAAAAGTTAAAACTGACAAGATATGCAATTCACAAAGTATGCATTTATATTAGGGATGGGCAATGATTAATTGTGATTAATCGCATCCCAAATAAAAGTTTGTGTTTACATAATATATGTGTGTGTAGTGTGTATAATTAATTTCTATATATAAATACCCACACATGTATGTGTATATTTAAGAAAAATGTGTTTCAAAAATTTATATTTTTATATAACATTGATTATGTATAAATATATATAAAGTATATACATGCAAATATTTCTTAAATATACACATGCATGCATGTGTATTTATATATACAAATTAATTATACACACACATATATTATGTACACATTAACTTTTATTTTGGATGCGATTAATCGTGATTAATCGTTGCCCATCCCTAGTTTATATGAGGATAAAATTAAAGCTATCATCATATAATAATTCTTGATTGTACTGATATACAACTAATATGTCACTTGCATAATAATTTGGAAGCCAATGTATATTTGTACTGAAAACAAGACAAAAGTACAAAAAAAGAAAGCCATTTCTGCAGTGCTTTACTTTCAGCATCTAACTGCGCCACAAACATTAGTCACGGCAGCGTCTCAAGACGTCAGGTGGCGTGAGCAATCCATCCGCCTCCAGTCTCTCAGAGACGCTGGCGCCGAGGACACCAGCTCGGATCAGCCCACGCAAGCTCTGGATCATCGTGAAGCAAACAGACTGCTGACAGAGCTACTATCTACGCCTGGCAGAGCGATATTTTTAGGCATGTACTGTACTTCCAATCCACGCTCCTTATTTGTACAGGAGTTCCTCTCTACGTAGGGAGGACACACAGTGACAGCGAGTAGGAGACAATGTGTGGGTACCAGGCTGCAAATAACAGCACTAGAATCAGACTAGATGAATCCACGTCATTTTCACTCTAACAGGGAAAATTAATGCAGGGACATGAGGTCAAATTGAAAATGTGACGCACTTTCAGCCTAAAGAAGGGAATGCTCTGCGTCGCTCACAAATGTCCCAGTTTTTCATGCATTTAGATTTCAGATACTCTGAGCTGATTTCTTTGCTATTTTAGGTATAAGCCTTTTAGTTACAACCCCAAAGATTTGATGCATATTAACAGCCTGCAATGACACTGAATTGATGCATTCTCAGAAATGAGAAAATTGTGAAATCTGCTCTCAGCATCATATTCCTATCAGCCTCAGACAAAAAAAAAAAAGATATTAAGCATCCATTTTGTGAAGGCAAAGATCCTATTTCACCCCAGCTGGCAGGATCAAGCGTGTGCCTATCCGGGTTAGAGCGAGTACTGAGTGTTCCAGGCACATACAAACAAAAAGCTGCGGTTATCTGCTCTGTTACAGCTCAAGTCAAGTGACGATAAAAGGATTTGCAGTTAAATAACTACTACTATCATGGGAACAAGCATCAATATAAAGAACACACACACACAGACATAGCTTAAGACGATTTGTTCGGCACTAATCTGCAGTGGTGGCTGCACACTGAGAGATGATGATGTAAGGTCATCCTGTTGTGCATCTCAATACTGGCTTGCATCCATCAGCTGTAAACCCATGCATGTCTAAGCCTGTCAAAATGTTCAATACTGTATGCTTTTATTTTAATTCTTCAATAAATCTATGAGCCGTTCATTTAGAAATAAGCCAAGTGATACTTATCATTAGTCTGTAATAATAAAGACAGAAACTCGTGCGCTCTCTTATTAATTAGAAAATTCTGAATTTAACATCATTTTCCTCTCTGGCAATTAGAAGTCTGAGACAAAAGAATGGATTGTTTTCCTGTGCATCTCAATATTGGCTCACATCAGAATTATCTCCTATGCTTGCTTTAAAGTTTAAACATGCACAAGCCTGACAAAGTAAATAATAGAAGTATATAATTGCATTCATCTGATTAATAATAATGACTGTACATTATATACGCATTACAGTTGTGCATACTGAACGCCTAATTGGTTTAGACTGATAAATAAAAGGCAATGACAAAGCCCAATTATTAAAATATTTTTTTCTTCTGCATAGTTAAAAATAAATTCAAACAAAACTAAATGCTTGACGCATTTTTTATTCCGTTTAGCAGAGAGGAACATGACAAAACAAAGGACGGTTACACAGCAGACAATAAAACAAAGACAATAATGTATATAAATAGGAAGCTATAACGTTAACTCACGTGAGAGTAAGGCATGTGAATTTCCTCTTTGTCTCCATCGTTCTCCTTTTCCGGCTTCTGTACAGTTACTTGTTGAAACGATATCTTCACCATTTTGACGTTTCTTCCTACTTTTCTGCGGTTAGGACGTCCAGTAGTGACTAAACCACCAAGGACAGTTCTGAGCTGTGAATGAAACGCTCGACAGAGGGCGAACTTAAAGAGGATTCCCTCGCTTCCGGTACACACTTCAAAGTAAGAGTCCACCAATCGGCGTCTATTCTCTAAAATTAGTATCACTCACAATTTCCACACAAAAAAAGAAGAAAAAAAAGAAAAGAAAAGCGGTCTCGTCTTTTAACCCTTTAAAATCCGAATTATGTTGCAAGGGACACAAAAATGATATGCTTTATTTTACTCTAAATGCAACCATAAAACCATCTAATGTCTAAGATTATGATACATATGAATTTGTTTTGTTATTCCAAGAAAAGTCGTTTTTTTTTCCGCACACAGTGCAACACCACCAAAAAGAGAAAAGCATTGAGTGTCCATGCACAATTATGATCCATCTATCCAGCCATCCATCTATCCAACCATTCTTTCTTTTAAGATTTTCATTCTTAATTTTTCCTCAATTACAAAAATGTAATAATAATACTAATAAATGATGTTATTGGTACAGTTTAAGGATTCAATTATTATATTCTATTGTATCATTATGCATTGATGTACTGATATTTTAATTATGTTCATACAGATATACATTTATAAATGCATTGATTCTAATTATAATTTGCATAATTAACAATTTGCCAAAATAATTACCTTGAATGATATATCAAAAGGCTTATTTTACCATAAATGTGATCATATTTTAACAGGATTTATATATAATTTTATCATTTCCAACGATTTAAAATGAAATGAAACGCAGCCCTTCATCTCCGCCTGGTCACGTCTTGGACTTTTATTGTAGAAATCTCCACAAATGGATGTCCATTCCGGTTCTATTTTCGCTGTTTACGGTGCTCTACTACGCGTTCTGATTTGCATCAGACTGCCGGAAGTCAATAAATAACTTGACACTGATTAAGGTTTTTTATGGCTATGATGCAGGTTACAATATTATAATATAGGCTACAAACAGCGCAAATAAATAATAATCAAATGTTTCCAAGCTATTAAAAAGATAATCGTTTTGAATTACATGTTTTATCTTAGCACTTAGATGGAATTTTGTTGAACGTCCATTTAATTAACAAATTAAGTAAACAGCAGCATGTCGTCAAATGTAGCTTACCCATTACATGTAATATGAAATATTAAAATGAGGCAAACAATGGGATTTGCTATCTCGGGTGTGTATATATATATATATATATATATATATATATATATATATAGGCCTATGTGTGTGTGTGTATATATATATATATATAGGCCTATATATATATATATATATATATATATATATATATATATATATGAAGAGTTCAGATGCAAAAGCCTCTAAAAAATGCCATTTGAAATTTTCTTCTAGAATGGTCTTTTTTATCAAGCTTGTATATTTAAGTTCAGTAATTTCACTTAAATGACAATTAATAGGTAATCTTCATTGCCATTTAAGTGAAATTACTGAACTTAAATATACAAGCTTGATAAAAATTATAATTTTAGAAGAAAATTTCAAATGGCACTTAGAGGCTTTTGCATCTGAACTCTTCATATATATATATATATATATATATATATACACACACACACACACAATATAATCTTTTATTTATGAAGGCCTACATATGATATTAAATTGTGTAGTTTTCAGTACATGATTGTTGCATTTTAACACATGTAGCTTCATAGATGGCTTCATAAACAAGCACTGAGGTGTCCCACATTCGCACGCTGGTGGTTAAGCACATCGTAAGGACATCGTGAATTAAGATCAGCTCCGCATTGAAGGAAATAGTGCCGTGATTGTGCACTGCATTCCAGCAGAGGGAGCATTTTTGCAGTTTAGATTATGTAAGCCTATTTGCCATTTTAGGCTATTTATAGGTCTATAAAAATATGTCAACCACATGACATGGGACAAGTTTCTTTAAGAACCTGTACCATTTACTTTAACATTGATACATACTATACAGCTGAAGTTCCCATTATCTCTTCTATGAGGCAACTTCTTACCTTTCTGAAGAGTTTAATTCCATCAGTAATTAGATAGCATCAAGTTTCAACCCTCTAAACTTTAACAACTATACTTTTAATTATTCGATTTTGGGAGTGAAAATATATAGGCCTAAATAAAATGGTTCCACAGTTAAAAGCAAGAGAAAATTATGTTGGATAACTATAATATGCTATTGAAGTTTAATAGGAATAAATCTGAAAATATCTATAAATTTGACACAATTTAAACTATACATATAATTCTTATACATAATAATACTAATATTAGCTTTTTTTTTACCTTAAGAAAAATAAGATAGAAAATGTAAGACGTCAAACATAAAAAATTAACAATTAAGTTTTTTTTGACAGGCAAATACCTGTCAATGAAAATAGTCTATCTATCTATCTATCTATCTATCTATCTATCTATCTATCTATCTATCTATCTAAACTGGGAAGTTTTCCCCATCCCTTCATTGAAAGTTATGAGGATTTAAAACTATATCATACAAATCAATTATTAATTATATATCATATACATTTTTATTGTACTGAAATTCAACTAATATGTCACTTGCATAATAGTTCAGAACAAATCGTACATTTGCAATGAAAAAACAAAAGTAGGCTACATAGTAAGAAAACCATTTTTGATGGAAAAAGTATAAGCTTAAGGACTTCAACCATCAAAAGAATTAACGATAAACCATTAACAGATTTTTTTTACAATACCCATCAATGAAGTGTAACAAAGAAACAGTTTCCCTGAAAGACATTAATTTTGTCTGTCAATAAATTATTCTAACTTATTGACCCTGATTGTTATTGATTGTTATTTTTTCTATCTATCTATCTATCTATCTATCTATCTATCTATCTATCTATCTATCTATCTATCTATCTATCTATCTATCTATCTATCTATCTATCTATCTATCTATCTATCTATCATTTCTAATCGCCTATCTATCAAGGGTAGTTGAGTTTAATTTTATTCAGTAAATTGTCCTTATGGTCCATACAGGTTGACAGGGTGGGTTGGTTTACAGTGCACAGACAAAGGCATGGCTGTTGATTGGTTGCCAGTCGGTCCATTCACATGTAAATCAGACCTCATAAATGTCCCTCTTCAATCGCCCACTTTACACAGTAGGCCTATATGTAGTGCTTGTTAGCGCAGACTTTTGTCTCGAATTGAACCCGCCGACCATCTGCCCCCCATTCAGGCGTCCTCTCAGCGGTCTCAACTGCAGCAATATGGCCCCTGCGTCCCGCAGCAACAGCCACGAGGAGGACTATTACGGGATAAAAGACAGAAAGGTACGCAAACACGTCTTTTTAGTAGCCCGAGGAAAAGTTTATCGACGGTTTCCCGCAACTTAACCGCATTTCTCTCTCTCCCCCTTCAGACGAGGAAACCGCTGGTGGAGAAAAAGAGACGCGCCCGAATAAATGAAAGTTTACAGGAGCTGAGGCTACTGCTAGCCGACCCGGATGTAAGTTCATTTATCACTTCTTAAAGCATCTGTATCCGCCGCCAACATACAGTGCAACGAGTCTTACTAACATCGCACTTTGCGTCATTTTTTTTTTTTTTTTGAAGGCGCAGGTGAAAATGGAGAACGCCGAGGTGTTGGAAATGACCGTGAAGCGCGTGGAAAGTATTCTACAAAACAAAGCGACGGGTAAGAGCTGTTTCAAGATCAAGTTTCACACAGGCCGCATTTAAAAAATGTGTCTAGCTAGCCTATATGCCTATTTGGGTGGTGACGTCATGCCGCTTTTCTCCTCCGCAGAGGCTGACAGCGTGAACCGCGAAGCTAACGAGCGATTCGCCGCGGGCTACATCCAGTGCATGCACGAGGTGCACACCTTCGTGTCCAGCTGCCCGGGCATCGACGCGACCATAGCCGCAGAACTGCTGAACCACCTCTTGGAGTGCATGCCTCTGAACGACGAGGACCGCTTTCAGGACATCCTGTCAGATCTCATGACGGACTCTAGCCACGGAGACAGGAGCACCTCCTCTGCCTTGTCCCCGGCCCCCTCAACCACCTCCTCCAGCAGCGATGACCTTTGCTCTGACCTGGATGATACAGACACGGAGCAAAGCCGCATCTCGGTGGATGCGAGGGATCAAGCGCCAAGCGTGTACCTCTCCAAGGCCATCTGGAGACCCTGGTAGACCGATGCGCACGGCACCCCTGTCGATTCATGAACATTTGAGTGCATTGTTTTTTTAGTTTAGAGCTATTAAAACCTGCAGTAGTCCAGGATTGAGCACCTTTGTTGTAGACATGTCTACAGTTGGAATACGTTGCTTTTGTTGTCATTTGTCATCGACCAGTGGATACCCCTCAGAAAGCTCTTCTTGGTGCAACAGTGTGCATTTCAATCCAGTTTCACACAGTTAGTTAGTTATTTTTATTTAATTGTTTTCTATTGTATAAGCTAAGTTAAAACAACACTGTAAAAGGATAAATAATATTTAGGGAGTGTCTTCCCATCTCTAATTATTGTACACTCTTAAAATTAAAGGGTATTTATTGGCATTAATGGTTCCATGAAGAACCGTTAACATCCATGAAATCTTTCCCTTAATTGCACAAGTTGTGTTTTATTAGTAAAAATTGGTTATTTTAAGAACTGTTCGCTGAAATGTTCTAAATGTGGAAGCCAAAGTTCTTTAATGACATCACTGTGAAAACTCCCTTGTGGAACCTTTATTTTTAAGAGTGTGGGCTAGGATGTAAATATTTCAATGTCGTGGCTGTAGATAGATAGACGTAGCCTATGTAATCTTTGTGATAAAGGAATTTAAAATAAATAAGTCAGATCTAATGACATTTAATGTGTTTTATATGTGATTGTGACTTTACCCTTCATTAAAATATCATTTTGATTTTCTTATACTGTAAAGAGTGTCATGTTATTTCTATGCAGTAACGCGAATCTTAGGCTTTCCTTGGGCAAATGTTATAGAGTGCAGTTGCTTTGATGAAATAATAAGAGTATGTAAGCTGTTTTTATCACACCTTCTCTACATGTCTTAAAGTGTGAATGTCCGCTTTGGGTATTTTGATCCTTCAGACGTGTAAAATTTAACACCTCATTGCCGATTAGCCGATCAGAAAGAATGACTTAGCGCTATGTGTCGTGCTGCTGATCATGTCTACCATAGACAAGCCTACGTGTTGCTGGCCAAGTTTGTCATTAAAAATAAGAAAAGCAAAAATAGCATTTGGGTGGAAACTATAATGGTTGCCAAGGGACGGCAATAAAACCATCACGCGCACTCGATCGGTCGCCAACCGACCCAGGTTTACCGTAACTCACTCGATGTTACGGCGTTTTATTTTGTACATTTTACGGCACATATAGACAATATCAGGCACGTGCAGAGGGGGGGGCGTTGGGTGCTCGAGCACCTGCCCTTTTGCCCCTTGGTGCCCAAAGTGCCCTTTTGTCAAGACAAAATTTCCTCTCCTTTTTTTTTTGTATTTAAAGGCACTTTTGTGGATGCCTGCCCCATCTAACTAGTAGTAAAATGAATGAATAATAATTTAGCTGTAAATAAAATGACCCACATGATGACCTTTCACCTGATTCCTCACGCTGCACGCGCATTTTTTAATTTCGCGCGGCTACGCGCAATCGCGCATTCCCAGAGGATAGCTTCAACTCTTGCGGCTGCTGGTAAGTTGTGTTCTATTCTCAGCGAAGTGATTTTGATGTTTGTTTACTTATTATTATTATTTTACTAGAACGACGTGAAGAGAGCATGCAGAGAAATCTTGTTTGTATTGCTGTGTGTACTAGGCTGTAGAAGTAACGTTAGCTTGCTGTTTGAGGGAGAAAACTTTCACGGGCGTGGAGGGGTGTTATTTGACTAAAAACTATTATTTGTACTTTAAACTATTAATATTATTACAGTATTTATTAAAAAAATTATTTTCACATAAAAAATATTATCACAACTCTGGTAAGTTATCACATAGGCTTACCAGTTAGTATCTTATGATTTGTGTGCAGAAGGCTCTGTGAACATCTGCCCTAGTAACGTTACTATTATATACTATTATTGTATTATTATACTATAGCAGCCTGGGTAGAATCTGTAGCTTTAGCAGGTCAGTGGACTAGTGAGCCAGTTCCAAACACTGTCAGCAATCTTTACATCTTGTCATGGTCACATAAAAATGGTTTAATCAGCTAATAACCTATATTTCTGTTTATTTTTAATGTCTACAGTCTCAGATCAACTCCAGCAGTATCAGCAGCAGCAGTAACAACATCAACAGCAAAGGCAGCAAACTCACTTAATGACTTGAGTAAGAATTTACCAGAACAGGCATCACATTAATGTTAAAAATCTTGTAAAGTATTAATTGCTGTTTCTGTTTGCTTTGTTTTTATTTTCATTGTATAAAATGTAACTCTTGTATTTTTGTAAATCACTTTTTGCCATGAAAATAGCCACAGATGCTGATATGCCATTAAATAAAACTATACTGTACTGCACGAAACTTGGGCCAGGTTGATTTTGTCCTATACAGTTCACTATAACAGCTGTTCTTTATTATTCTGTATAACAGAGAAGAAAAAGCCATCAGGTTGGGGCAACTTAAGATGCTTCAGTTTCTAATCCCAGAGTTATATATAAATATATAAATTATTTTTTTAAAATTTTAAACTTTAAAATTGTCTTTTCTGTTCTGTTTCTTTTTCAAAACTGCATCAATGCATTTGCTGCTGTATCGATGCAGAATCATCTGTATTGATATATTACTGTATTGATATTTTGAGCACAGCCCTATAAAGCCTTGTTTCCATGTGCCCCATTTTATACTTTGAGCACCTGCCCCTCCAGAGGTCTCTGCACGGCCCTGGACAATATTATTACAAAGCATGGAATCTACCAGAGTTGAGCACAGAAAACAAACTATATTCAGTATTGTCCATATTATAAGATGTTTTCTGTTATTTTATGGCGTGGAGCGAAGGCCTGCAACTTCTCTCAAGTCATATAATCTACTAACTTAATTATAAATACGCCAATAGGTTTTTTTTTTTTTCAAAACGGTTCAGTGGCAATGCAAAATTAGCCTACTTGTCTACATATTTAAGTGCTCTCTCTCAAAACCAAAAGCTTGCAAATTAGTCAGTGTTTTAACGCTCGCGAAATCAGGGTTAGCGATAGCTACTCGCGGTTTGTCAGACTTCGACAAAACAGAAGTTACACTTTGGATATTTGGGCTACATTAGGCTAGCTATATATAAATATTGCCTAGCCTACCACAAAACCACTTTGTGTTTGATTTAAAATGTGTAAAGTTAGTGTTTAGGCTGCGCGAGAGACTGTAAAACTGACAGAATAAGTAGGCTAGCACTTAGGCTAAGTCAGAGTCGACGCTGCTAAAATCACTGATGAGTCTGACTGATTAAAAAATAGCCTAATAGACTAAGTACTCCAATTAAATTCCGTCTTAGTTTATATAAACCATTAACTGCAGTTTTCCACAACCAAGATTAAAGCACGTTTGATGTAAATACGTATTAACTCTTTTAAATCCACATCATGTAGCCTAGTTCGCAGACTGTTGACAGGTTGTATTACCACTGTGCTTTCATCGGACCAGGGCCGGATTTTCGGCGTCTGAAGGTTGTTGTTGTCCTGGTAGGAGGCCTGCAACAGCCATTCACACCTTGTCTTCAAATTGGCGCAGGTGTGAACCAGAGGAACTAGCGCGTCTTTCATGTGCGGTGGCAGAAACCCCTGTCTGGGCGCAGTGAGGAGAGTCTGGTCACATGAAGGGAAGCTGTGCGTCGGATGTGCGCTGTATAATAATAAAACTGGTGTAACGGTCGACTTTGAACATATGGCGTAGATGGGCCCCTCTGTACCAACGGCCCGTTTTCACAGGACTCGGCTGTACACTGACAAGCAAAGTGGTCTTGTTATCAGCTCAAGAAAATACAGGAAATAAGCATTTTATTCACAAAAGTAGGCTATGTTTTAAAGCGACACGATATCCTCCCGAGACCCAGAAAACGTTATTTATTTATTATTTACTATATTTCTTGACGTTTAGAGTATAATAAACAAATTGGGTAAAAACATAAAAAATATACTATTTTTTTTTCATGTTACGCTATGTCCACTGTAGGGGACACCGTGAGTTTAAAAACAAAAAGACGCGAGATGACGTAGCCTACAGGGAAAATCAATGTTTTTATTTATTTATTCACCAACTATTTTTAGGTTTCATTCTTTTTTTTAACCACACTTTGCATAAAGATGATACTCAACTTTGTTATGAAAGATATAAAGGAATGATTTGATACAATTTTACTTTATGCAATAGGCTAGCCTATGTGGAAAAAATGGCCATAAATGGGCTACATTATGTCTGATGAAACTATAATTCATTTGGATCAGCTATTTTCAGTGTGCGAACTTGCTAGTTTTCCGTTTATGCTTCTTGAAGCCCAATCTGGGTGTTTGGGATGTGCACACCAATTTTGTATTTTTGAATTTTTCATAAATGGTTAGTCTCATTCAATACAATGCACATCCATACACTGTATTTAATTAGCATATTAATGTATTATTGGGGAAACATGTAATGAAAACAAGTTGTTAGCAATACTTTGATTAGAAACCACATAACATTTTCCTGAGATGTCAGAGAAATTCATAAAAATATAATTTCCACTAGGCCTACAGTGGACAAACGTCTATTCCTGGGTCCCAGGATGATATAAGTACAAATATATTTTAGGAAAGAAAAAAAAAAGAAAAAAATCTGACCATTCATTTAATTCCATACAAGATAAATTAAATGGAAATAAAAATCTCTAGGAAAATGCATTTGAAATACCATCCAATTCATATAAATGTATTTTAAATGAAATGAAATAAATATTGAACAATTATTTTTAATATATATATATTTTTGACATTTTAATGCTTATCTAAACGATTCAGCAAAAAGTGGTCAGATTTCTCCTATACTGAATTCATACACTGTACTTTAAATCTTGATAACCTTGAACATAAAGAAACAGCCGAAAGAAATTTATTTCTAAAAAATAAACTTTATTCCAAATTATTAAACAACAAATAGGGCATCAAAGTAATACCACAAGTTGTAAAGTGACAGAATGCACGGACATTTATTTACAACGTGGGCTAAAGTTGTGAAACAGTTTCCTCAAAACTAAAAGCTTAATGCCAAGTTGACCTCCACATGGACTTTTGAATATGACATTTAAACCCCATTCTGCCCATATGCTGTTTTTGAGCTGTAGTGATTGGGGATTTATAGTAATTGTGGTTATACAGCAGGATTAGGTGGGGACAGTCAAAACGATCAGGGTTAGACCTCAAACTCAGTAGATCAACCTATGCTTGAGCTTATAAAAGAGGAGACATTTAACACTGAGGTTTTATATAGCAACAGTCCATCAGACAGGCAAACAGTCTGAACAAAACAATAGCACCTAAACACTTAAGCCCAAATACTTCTGAGAAATTCACCTAATGCTACTAATGCAATGCACTTGAGCTCTTAATACATTCACTATCTGACCAAACAAGCTGCCAAGTACTAAAGGTATTGTGGTTTGTGCCATGTGGAGCACATTTCAACTGCCCTCGTTTAATAAAAACACATTTCAGCTCATAAACTCGGTCCTCGTGTAGAAGTGTGAATTCGAAAGGATATCAGAAACCTATCCCACAACACAACTATCAAACACCAGAGAACTGTGTCGCATACGTCCATTCAGAAGAAAATAAAATATTTGACTTTTATAGAAAAATCGTGTTATAAAGAAGAAAATAAGTTAGTTTGTATATATATACAGGGAAAATCTGTCAGGGAAACACTGAAAAGGAAATATTATTCCTCATTAAC